ATACTAATGAAAGCTATTGGAACCATGACAGATAGTGGTGAGAGTGTAACCATGACAGTGCGAAAAAAAGTGGGGCATAAAAAACTTTTAACTGCACATTCTCAGACTGGAACCACTCCCCCAACCCCAATTCATGTACTAAGTCTTGTATTTTAGTATTCAGATGATGTAGATTATACTCCATGTAGTGTAGACTCATTTAGAAGCTATTTCTCAAAGTTGAAATATTAGTTTTCATGTTTTCAGATTCTCGCAAAAAAATATGAGATATCATAAACTGAGAGAAATATTTCACAAATTTTAAAAGTAAGAAAGTTTTATTTTTCAGGTAAACTTTGAGTATGTTATTATAACAATCTATTGCATGTTTAAATTGAAATATTGAATCCATACGAGTTTTATATTTGTTATAATGATAATTGTAGAATTGTGGTTAGACAAGATCCCATGTTCATTTGGGTTTCCTTTTCGCGCTGTGCTGCGAACCTTATCTCTTTTTAGACAGCAATTGGGTTATCTTCACATGCATTATGCGCACACGCACGATCCGAATGTCGACGAAAGATGAGTAGTCCTGTTCTGAAAATATTTAACCCTGCATCTTTTGCAAGAAAAATGGAAGCATACGGCATACGTATTGTTGATATTAACGGAGTTTCAATTTTAACACATGAAGAAAATATTNTTTATTACATACATGCATAATCGACACAAGNCACTTAGGAACCTTTACATGATAGTGAAAGTTAGGGCAAATTGTTGGCTAGTCTCCGGTTAAAAAAGGATAATTCAAATCGTAAGCTGTCGTTTTTCTTCCAATTATGAAGCCTCCAGATAAAATCAATGCCCACGCGTATCGGGTGATTTTTCTATAATTAGATTGCATATAAAACATTACAATAACGTTTGAAAAAAATCTGGATTTCATTTTTACCCTGCGTCTTGCATTAAAATGGAATCGCATGAATTACGTATTAGAGAAGTTAGGAGTTTTGTCAATTCTAGTGCACAGAGATAAAATAGTCAACCATTTGGCTGGGAAATTTGNAAATTAAGATCTACCGCGTTTTATCGAAAGTATTGAAATCCATTTGCAATCAAGTACCATTATGTATGGGGGCAGGTAATCACAGTTACAGATGATTNCTAGAGATAACTGAAGTCAAAANANGGGAACTTTACTTTAATCATGGGCCAAAGTCACGAATAAA